TGAATTGACTTTTGCATCTCTACGGCACACTAGTTCACTCAGCAAACTAGAAGAGCACTTCATTACACGGAGACAAAGGAACATGTCTTACACCGACCGGCATGCATACTCGCATTAATTAACATTGCAAACACCAATCTACAACAACAGTGCAGCTTAATAAAGCACAGAAACATTTGGGATATGCACAGTTTACTTTATATTTGAAATAAATAAATGCAACTTACCTGCATGGAAGATCGGGGGCTGAGAAACGCGGTGGGCGCCGATTGGCACTCAGGAAATCAAGATGCCGCATAGCAACGCACCAAAGACAGCTCAAGTAGGGTGATATTCACTTGTTAGCCTTTCCACAGATGAAACTGGCCCAAAGTTAAACTATTACATGTTAATGTCACGCATATTCCAGATGAAACTTGCTACTAATGCACCAAACACACAGATGCAAAGACAAGTCGCGACAAGGGCACAACATGTGTTATACTAAACTACGTCTCTAAGGCGCCATGATAATTAAAAGTACATTATATTGGACTACGATTTCTTATGCTTTTACCTGTAAATAAACAATACAACTTTTTTATTGTGTAGTATCTGTATTATTAAGTAGGTAAATATTCAGTATTAGTTTGAAAAAACGTCAAGATTGAATACGAGACTAATGCTATTGACTAGTCGACGAGGATGACAGCAAATTCAATGCTTGTCTATGCTGGGCACCATACGAGAAGTAGCATTGGGGTGTTCTATATGTGCGCGTTAGCCTTTTTAGCAGCGTCGTAGCAGATGAGAACAAGCTCACTACCGTCTGATTGTGGCAGAGATTGGTGAATGGTCAAAACAAAACGTTCTTTTCCTTGGGCAATAAACCACAATGGTGTTAAGCTACTTGTTTGTTCAGTATGATTAAATCTAAGTTTGACATTTAAATTAGCAATATTTGTGTGCCAGTGATGTAACACTGGATCCAGTATCCCACTTATTTGAGCTTTCAAAAGCCTAATAAAAGTGTGTTTTCTTCCCAGTAATGTACATATTTTGGAAATTAGCCATACAGAGCACTTGACATCATGGTAAAATGTGCTCCATGTAGAGCCTGTGGCAAGCATTGTAAATCGTTTTTAATAATGACTGGCGTTCGTTTATATTGCGGAAAAAAAAGGAATAAAATAAATATAGACACGGATACATTGTGGAGAAAGACAGCGCTGTTCTGCCTGTATTTTTCGTGCTACAGAAATGAATGCCAGCTATCAACAATCAATTAGCCCACTCTATCACCTTGACGGCTTAATTATGAATGCTAAAATGCTATATTGTCACTTGTGCATTCACGAGGCTTGTGTGAATATTAGAATGCTTCGAATATTCGAATGAATTGCAGAGTATTTGAGTTCACTTCGATTCGAATTTAAGTTATGGAAAATTTAGAAGTATTCGCAGTGAACAAATAGGGGTACATTAATCTGCATGTAACCGCTTTTAAAGGTGGTGTCACTGCAGTGTAGGAATGCTAAGCCATGAAAGCACCTACCCAGGGGAAATCGGCTCTACCGCGAAGCTTGTCTTCAAATTTAAAGGGGCCCTGTAACGCCTTTTGAGCATAGTCGTAAAACGCTGCCGATCAGTAGTCAAGGCTACCGAGAACATGCGAGGCAAATATTTGTGGGAGGCCGCCGTTTGTGTACGCGTACGTGCACGATCGCACTGAAAGGCCGCGTCTTCGAAAGAAATAAATAAATAAAAGAAAGTGCTCTAGGTCGTGAGGTGCACGTGACATTTTTTTTTTCCCGTGCCATCCCTCCCTGCTTAGTTTCCAGCTCCTTCATCGGGACGAGAAGAGAGAATGCAATAGCATCGTGCGAGAAATCTTTGGAACGCCGCTCATACTGGGCTAGTTATAAAAATAAATTTATCATTTTATTAAGCTTAAAAGCTTGTTATGACTGCTCACAAAATCCAAGTATAGTAAATTTTTAAATGTTACCTATTTTACACGTTATCACTTGCATCCTACCGAAACTCAGATCCCACTACTACTCAATGTTGTTCCAACTTTCTTTGAACGAAAAAAAAAAAATGACATTTGCGTAGAGCCCCTACTTATATTTAAAAAAATATTGTGCAGGTTAGTCAGGTTATAATAAATATTCCTACTTTTTCTTATATGTCATAGATTCTATTCGAACTCGATTCAAAGTTATTTGACCAAAATCGTTATTCGCTTCGAACCTAAAATTCACTATTCGTACAAGCCTAGTCTCCACTGATGGAACTGAGTTAAGCCTACTGAAAACCAGCAAGTTAGCTGCCGGTTCCAGCAGCATCCCAGGAGAAAAGCAGTAACCTGCTGGAACCAGCACAGAAAACCAGTAAACACTCTGCTAAGACCAGTATAAAACCATTAAGCACCCTGCTGGAACTACTGGAAGGAAGACCAGTAAGCACAGAGCTGAAACCAGAACCACCAGCAGGAAACCAGCAGATTAGTTGCTGGTTCCACTAGAAACCAGCAGCTCCCAGTAGAAAACTAGCAGGAAATTTTCACTTGGGATATGTGGGAACATCTTTTGCAGAGTTGGAACTATAATCGATACTTGCAGAACAAATGACATGATTTTGCGCTTGCGTCTCTCAATTGTTTTCCATATTGTGGAGATAGGTTTTCATGAAAAACGATGGCTTAGCCATATCATGAATTCTTCGGTCATGATCTCCTCGGCATCCCGCGCGACAACCCACAAAAATTTTGGAAGTATTTGTCTCCTAAAAACAGCGCTGCTCAAAACTTGCCATTTACTAATCCCGATGGTTCGGCCATTTCCGCCACTGACTCCGCCGAAATCATGAATTCCCATTTTTCATCTATATTCACGCATGAACCCTCCACCGATGTTCCGTCCTTGCCGATTGTGTGCTTTACCGTCGCATCTCATGTTGCACTGACCAAATTACACTCCAGAATGACTTGTCTAACATACATAATTGGTGTTCGTGGTGGCTAATGCAGCTTAATACACAAAAATGTAAATTCATGCAAGTTTCACGCAAGCGCACTAACTTTTCCTTCCAGTATTCTGTGAACTTCCAACCTTTAGCCCAGGTCGACTCCTATCGTTATCTTGGCGTAATAATAACAAGTAAACTAACATGGTCCGAGCACATAGAACAACTAGTCACCGCTTCAGCAAAATCACTTGGCTACATTAAAAGATCGCTTACGTCCGGCCCACCGAAAGTCCGCAAATTAGCTTATGAAACCTTCACGCGTACTAAACTTGAATATGCTTCTGCTATTTCGAATCCTCACCAAAAATACCTGATTGACGCATTAGAAGCAATTCAAAATCGCGCTGCCAGATTCATCACCTCACAATACAGTTCTCACTTAAGTATTACCTGTATCAAACTATCCCTCAACCTCCCTCCTCTAGAAATTCGCCGCAAAATCACTCGGCTCTGCCTTCTGTACAAACTATACCATAATTTCCCATCGCAACGCAATACCGTTCTTCTACCTCCCGCCCGTTCATCGCGTCGCCTCTTTAACTCCCTATGTTTACAGCGCTTACATGGCTCAACTAACGCTTTCAATAAATCATTTTTACCTACTGCCATTGAAAACTGGAATAACCTGCCCGAATCCATAGTGCACGAACAAAACCCCTTAAAATTTAAACAGCTAATCACAAATCACTTGATATGTTAGTTAATTTACAATGGTTGCCGTTTTCTTCCACGTATATATATATATTTCCTTCTGTTGACATTGTTTTTTTTATCATGTAGTTCACTTTCGATTATGCTTTGTACCATTGACAATCATGCATCTGTTGAATTGTGTTTTTGCCTCCCCCTTATGTAATACCCCGCAAGGGGCCTTGAAGGGTTCAATAAATGATGATGATGATCATGATGATTGCTGCAGTGTGAACTGGGGGATAGAAAAAGGAGGCACACGGAGACGAGCACTCGTCCTCGTGTATCTCTCGATCTTTTTCTCGAGTTCGCACTATAGCAATCATTGTTTGCGTGAAGCTTATCTTACCAGCGCGATCAGGAAAGGATGCAACGTTGTGCCACAGTCTCCATGAACAGAGATGCAACGGTAGAGTTTGTCAACACTCAAACAGCACAGAAAAGGCACTCAAGGCTTTTTGTCAACAAACGTGGGTTTATTAACCCAAGATGCAGCACAGTTCAATATCTGGATTGAGAGTCATATAGGGTAACCCTGCAAAGCCGACCGAGTGCACTTGCTGGCGGCACTACGGCTATTACACAAAGGGAAGGCAGCAGCTCAGCTCACCAACGAGAGGTCACCTGCAAGGCAGCGCATGAACCTCTCTTTGTAGGCCTAAGAGCAATCTTGTCATGGGGACCAAGCGCCAGAAAGAAGTGAGCTTAGGGGGAGAGAAGAAGGAAGGAACAAAAATAACTTAATTTTTTAACCTGCAGGGCACACCTGACGTGAAGTGGCACGAATGTGCGACCTAGTAGAGCAAGAACGCTGTACACAGACATCTAAAACGAGGCAGTGCCAGTTGGTATTTTATTTCAAGAGTGCTTTCAGCACAAAGGGAAGACATGTCAGTGAAGTGTGCTAGCGCGATGTGCAACATGCGGTGCCTAGATGTCATGAAGTTGGCGTGCGAGACGCATGGCTTGCGCTGAAAAATAAGGCCTGGTGTTGTGGTGACCGTCATTATGTTGCCGATTAATGGTGGTTCTTGGTGACCGAGCTGCGTAAAACCAGCATAGCGCTATGGCTGAGGAATGAGATGCTAAGGGAGGGTGCTCTCAATTTCTACAATATTTATGGGTAGAAACTTGTCAGCCGTGTGGCTGTTTGCGGACATGGAAACCACCACTAGCGAACTTGTTTGGTGAGAGAGGCGAGCAATTTTTGGTTAGGCATTTCCTAGGCTTAGTTTGGGGAGGGGGGTATAACTGGGATATGTTATGTATTGAGCCTTTCACAATGGCTGTAATGCGTGCAGATGTTGGCTCTGGAGTTCCTTGCCCTGCAGCTGAGCCTACACAGGAGCGACACAGACCAGGGCGTGTGGCAGTGCCTGCTCGAAGATTGGCACGAGTTGCTGATGCAGCAGCTGCAGGAGCGGCCCGTCTCTGTGCTCAACCAGTGAGTGCTCGCATGATGATTTGTCCAGTGGTCTCCATAAGAATGCGCTTGCAGGCAGGAGGATCGTATAAGGGGTGCCCAAGTGTGGCTGGCTGCCGAGATACTGCACCAGCTGGAGACATGGGACACTGCAGTTGCTGCGCTCTTGGCCACCAAGCTCGGCTGCCGAGAAGTGGTGCCCAGGTGGGTGGATATTGTTTGGGAAGTGCCGATGACGACACATAATCGCAGATGACTAAATCCGGAGAAATCTTCATATATTTTGGTTACTAGAAAAAGAACAAACAAATATAGAAAAGAAAGCATGCCTATAACTGTAAAATTCATGACGCTTCAAAAAGCCAACTGAACATGAACCATCGATAAGAACAAACAGATGTGGCATGTGATGAAGCAAATAGAGCTCTATGGGGCCTCAGACACAAGTGGTTCTGACGAAGTGGAGAAAAAAACTCTTGGCATATACCGTATTCACTCAATTGTAACGTGGCCACTGTTGTAATGCAAAGTGTGACCTGCCAGGAAGAATAAAATAAAACAAAATTGAAATAATTGTGTGCATCGTTGCATATTTTACACAGCTTGAGTATTATTGCTTCTACAAACAATGATATGTCTACAGAAATGCTTCTACAGTAGTGCTTTCAATAGTGTCTGATGCGGGGGCCCTTAGGGGATGTTAAGAAATTCTGTTTGTGCAGGCTGGAGACTGTTGCATGCTACTTGTGGAGGTACCCGGAAAGTGCCAGTCACACGTGCCTTCAAAAGCTGCTGGGCTTTCTCACCCAGTGCTACTCATCTTGCAAGATGTAAGTGACCTTGCCTGAGAAGGTTGCACATACAGGTTTCGATAAGGAGATACTATGAAAAAACTAAATTTGAAAGCAAGGTGCTTAGGTTATCTGTAATGTAGCATAGGGGTTATGTGCTGGCTCTCGGCATTCTCAAATTATAAGATTTAGCTTGTCTGTTTTTCTTGATTGCTGCTATGCTCTCCAAGCCCATAATTTTACAGTGTCCAGTGTGTCCTGCACAGGATTTGCCATAGGTGTGAAGCAGTTGGTACACTACGCTATCACTATTGGGGGTCAGTCAAAAATATTGAGTTACTTTTTTGATGGTAATTGGCAGAAAGGTGAATCAAGGGTATTATTACCACGGCAGTACAATTCTGATGCTTCATCTGGCAAAAGAGAGAAAGAAGCCTATATTTGCTTGAGTGACTTGCGAACCTCTAGTGGCGCCGTTGAGCATGATGTGCAATGCAAGATTTTACTTCTAAATTATTTTGAATGGTGTGAGTTAACGGGGAAAGACAAAATCATGTTGTTCGCATTCATTCTGACCATCCAGGGAACCTTAAAAGTTCCTTACAGAAGCCCTTGCTATAACAGAGCCCAGCTTAAGAACCCTTCAGGTAAAGACTGGTCATGTAGGTTAGTGCACTACATTAGTTAGTCTACCGCTAATTCAGAGCTGTTTTCAGACTTATCAATAGACAGCTTTAGTTGGGTATCCATCTCTGCTCTGCATAAGCAAAAAATGCGCGGAGGTGGCAGTGCACATGCATAGTACGCAAGAGAATGCACGTTTTTTTTGCCGGCGTCCGCAGGTTTTGGGGAGCTGCATAGTATTTTTTATGTGCTTGGTAGGATTTGCTCTCGTGTCTTATTTGGGAAATGCGACGTGCAAACACGAGGGCCGATTTTCAACCGGGCTGTGGGGGTGGTTTCCGAAGGTCTGGCATTGCTGTGTAGCACACCTGCTCCAGTGTGTGCAATGCAGCTTTTACGTCCATCCAACTGCAGCCGTACGCTTTGCAGCATGCACGAAACCTCGTATGCTGCTTACATAGGCTGCTGCAGATACCGAACTAAAACCATCTAATAACAAGAACAATTCTCTTGGGTTGGCTGCCAATGCTGCAAATGTCTTGGAATTCTGATTGCATGTCCATAGCATCTCTGCTACGTCAGCACCCCGTTTTGCAGCTGTCCCTCTCTCGGCCGCATTGCAGTTGTGTGTGCACGGAATCATGTGCAGGTTGGACGTGAAACGTTGTGTGCTTCTCTGCTACTATGGGGTGGCCCATGCAGTTAGGCCTGGCCACAGATCGTGGCCCATGTGGAATGTAGTCTGGGAGCAGACTGTCAAGTAAGTGCCCACAGACTCGTATTGCAACACGTGTATTCAACTTGGGGCACATTTCTGCAGGACCGTCTTCCTGAACCAGTGTGTGGAGGAAGGTCACTTGGTGCTGCAGGAGCTTCTGCGGAAGCAGCTTGCATCCTGCTCTGACCTGGCGTCTCTGTTCTGCCCAGGTACAGTCACTACTACAGAACATATCAACATAGGGCTGCTGAATGTACAACAGGGCTGTTTGGTTCACTGGCACTGTGAAAGCATTGTTGTGCATGATTGACATAAACAAACAGAAATGACAGGACAGAGTGCCAGAGTGGTATTTACTTGTGTAATGAACCCACTTGCATTATAGATGCACCACCAACTTTAGTAATCAAAATTTGGATTTTTTTTCTCCCACATAATAAATGCACCCTTATAATCACTCGCTGCAGTCCCGCAAACTGACAGCTGGCACTTTCTTGCCCGTTGGAATTTTTCTGTATGTTATGATGCCGATCCCCCCCCCCCCCCCTCCGGCTCGCTTCCTCCCCCTTCACCCTCTGCCGTGTGCCGCTTTGTTTTTATTTCTATCTGTACGCGTTACATACCTTTGTTTTAATTATCTGTGTGCTACAGCGGGGTTCACGCTGACATGCTGTCTCAGCTGACATGCACTCAGCAAACGAGGGTCACAAAACTGCCCTCACCAACCAGTGGTGAGGGCATGATTTTTGAGCAACAATGACAGGATTTGTTGTCACCATGACTACCGCAAAGGGCCATTCGTCACCATCGCATCGTAGGTTTTTGGAAAACCGGAAAAAATGGCTTGTCACCGAGAAACCAGTGTGATGATTTCTGCAACATGGTAGCACGTCTGACTCTTGCTTCTGTTGCAGTTTGTTTTTTATGCTTGTTACCCGTGCGCATTTTAAGGAACGTGAGATATAGGCTACTTTTTTTACAGTCACTTCTCATGCGGACAGTGAGGCGGTGGCCGTGTTTTGTTGTTAATGTTGTTATCGACAGTTTGTTTTCATACTTCGGTAGTAGCTTGATGCAATATCAGGGGTGAAAGCGCTGCGCCAAGCTGCACCTAAACAGCAATTTGCACGCACAATGTCAAATTTAGTCGAGAGTTTTATCATTGACCGAGCAACATGCGTGGGCTACACAAAGGACGCAAACGCGTATATATAAAATTCTGTGTTCATATCAAATGTCGTATTTCGTATCATGCATGAATCTTGCGCCACGTGGAATAGTGCATGATTCTTGTTAGGGTAGCTTTTGTGTGCATACCTCATTATGCGACTCTATATATATGGTTTAAAAGCAAAGCTGTTAGGCGAACCACAAAGACGGCAGTGGTGTTACAAAAAACTCGCCGCACCGTTGCCAAGCAACCGTCGAGTGCATGCTGTGCTCGGCGGTTGCTCGGCAACAATGCGATGAGTGTATTACAATATAAACTGAACAAAAAAAAAATAAATGAAAATTAGTGTCACCGGTGAAGCAGTGACTGCAAAAGCAACAATTTGCAATGTTGTAATGGTGATGCTGCATGCGCTTCTTTCTTTCTGTTTTTGTTATCTCACCATTACGCGTGTAATGCTACCTTGCGCAAACCACGCCCGAATGGCTGGGGACCATCTAGATAATCTTAGAACCTTTCGATTACTGTTTGTTCTGGAACTTACGCAGCGGTTATCGATAATGCTGGAATCTCCGATGCCACATGTATAAATGCGGACGCACTTTGCTGCATGGCAGATTATGGACGGCTGACGCTCTATGTTCGCTGCTATCAGTCTACAGCATGTATAACTTGTAGAGTGACGCTTCGTTTTCTGGGCACAGCTTAGCCCAAATAAAAAGTTCATTTATGGAGAAAGCAGCTGTAGCCTTCGTTGACATCACGATCCCGTGACAATACGAAGGCTGACAGCTAACTTCTTTGGATCCGACAACGCGATAATCTACAAAACGCTTGTGTAAAAGAGTAAATAGGTCTACTTTAGGGAGAAATGCTCTTATCACACAATCTCTTCATGTTAAGAGTGCACCACGTAGAACTGTTCATGAGCCGTGCGCTGACACTTGCCGATATCGCGCGTGCCAGCTATCGCAACCACTTGATTTGAATCAAAGTTCACGGCTGCTGCTTGAGCGACCCCCCTTTCTCCCGCGTCTTTTCATGCTCGTACGTGACGGACGGTGTGTTTCCTCTCTGCTTGCGCATTCAACGACAGTTCTAACACGCAGTGGGACATTAACGCGTGTGCCCTCCGAGCAACTGAGATTGGCCATCTTGTTTAATTTCTGCTTGAGCTGAGCTCATTACCCCAGCTTGCGCAATTTTACGAGCGGGTCGATTGTACAATGCGCAGGAAATGGTACCAACTTGTAGTTTACGCAGAACATGGCGGGTACGACGAAAACCCATCTATTTTCTATATTATTCCCATCGAGTTTCCATATATCTTATTGCCTAGCAATAATGCGGCAAGCGCATCTAAATTTCCTCATGCTTCTCATGTTGGCTATGGCACTTCAATGACTGGAACATAATAATAAGTTTTTTACATTTATTTTTATAGAGTCTCATCGGTTTAGTATCAAAATCAACTTTTATTATATTGTCACGGGGTCGTGACGTGGACGAAGAAAGCAGACTGTAATTACGAGATGAAACTATTTATTCAGCCGAACTTGTGGCCCGCAACTGAAGGTTAGATTACGGCGATAGTCAGTTGATATGACGATCCATTTGTTCCTGGAATTCGACATCGGGAACGGCCCTACTAAGTCCATGCTGGTTTGCTGGAACGGCCGGCGAGGTGGCTCGATTGGCTGAAGAAGTGTGGCTGGCCTAGTCGGCAGTGTCTTTCGTTGCTGACAGTCACGGCAGGTCCTGATGTAACGAGTGACGGCTGCAAGTCATTTCCAGTAGTATTTTTCCTGTATTCTTGGTAGCGTATGGGAAACACCGAGGTGTTCAGCTGTTGGGTCGTTGCGTAGGGCCTCAAGTACTTCTGGTCTCACTGCTGGAGGAACCACGAGAAGGTGATCGGCTCGAAGGGGCGAGAAGTTCTTCTTTAAAAGAACTCCGTTTCGCAAAAAGAACGACTCTAATCCTCTCTTGAAAACATTTGGAACAGTCGCGCTGTTACGCTCGAGGTATTCCACAAGGCTTTTGAGTTTCTGGTCGGCTTGCTGTTGCTCGGTGAAGTCGTCGGCAGTTATCGTTCCTAAGAAGCTGTCCTCATCCAGGCAGTCGGGCGACGGTGGTTCTACGGGGTTCGAGACAAGCAGTCATCATAAGTGTTTTCTTCCAGACATTTAAATGACGCTCACGCCGAATTCTTGAAGTCCGAGGGTCCACTGTGCGAAGCAACCTGAAGGGTCTTTCAGGTTAGCTAGCCAACACAAAACATGGTGGTCGCTCACAACTTCGAAAGGCCTGCCGTAGAGGTAAGGGTGAAACTTTGATGCTGTCCAGATGATGGCAAGGCACTACTTTTTTGTTGTGGAATAGTTGGCTTCAGCCTTGGATAGCGACCGGCTAGCATAACTGATAACCCTTTCCACGCCGTTAGTCCTCTGCACAAGTATGGCGGACGAGTCCTACGCTGCTTGAGTAGGTGTGTACTTCTGTTTTGGCGTATTCGTCGAAACTCAAACTCAAACTCAATGCGCAAGTATCGGTGGTGTCTGCAGCCGTTGCCTAAGTTCCTGAAATGCTTCCTCTTGTGCCGCTTCCCACCTGAAATTGACGTTGCTTTTCGTGAGGTGAGTTAGCGGCTCAGCGATCTGTAAAAAACGTTTGACGAAACGCCTTTAATAGGCGTACGGCCTTCTTGTCAGTGGGCTGTGGGAAATTAGCGATGGCGGCTGTTTTCTACGGGTCGGGACGGACTCCAGACTTGCTAATCACGTGTTCCAGGAAGAACAGCTCCGTGTACGTGAAGCGGCACTGTTCTGGCTTCAGTGTTAGTCCAGAGGTATTGATAGCTTGAAGTACCGCTTCAAGGCGGCGGAGATGCTTGTCGAAGCTCGAGAAAAACACAACGATGACATCCAAGTACACGAGGCAAGTCTGCCACTTCAATCTAGCCAGCACGGTGTCCATAATGTGCTGGAATGTCGCAGGCGCCGAGCAAAGACCAAATGGCATGACCTTAAACTCGAAGAAACCGTCTGGTCTGATAAAGGCGGTTTTCTCATGATCTTTCTCATCTACCTCAATTTGCCAATAGCTCTAGCCCGTTTTGAGGTCCACAGAAGAAAAGTACTTTGTGCTCTAGAGTCGGTCCATGGCGTCTTCTATACGTGGGAGAGGGCACGCGTCCTTCTTTGTTATTTTTTTCAGGCGACGGTATTTGACACAAAAACGTAGGGTCCTGTCCTTCTTTTTCACTAATACCACGGGTGACGGCCATGGACTCTTGGACGGCTGAATAGTGTCGTCGCGTAGCATTTCGTCGACTTCTCTCTTGAAGGCATCGCGTGCGCGCGTCGAGACTCGGCACAAGCTTTGTCAAACTGGTCGAGCACTTTCTTCTGTTATGATGCAATGTTTCGCGACTGGGGTTTGTTGAATTCTCAATGATGATGAGAAGCACTTCTTGAATTGCAGGAGCTGGGACTTGAGCTGGTCTCGCTCACACTTCGAAAGGCTTGGGTTGACAACCAAATGTGGTCAGGAACCTCGATTTGTTGAAGCAGCGTCGGCAGCATCGAAGAGGGCGAATAAATTGCTGGCCTCTATGAATTCGTCGGTGTAGGCAACTGTCGTACTACGGTTGAGGTGCCTCTATTCGTGATTGAAGGTTGTCAACACTACCTTTGTTTTGCCATCACACAGCTTAGCTATGCCTCTTGCGACGCAAATCTGATGGTTTAGAAGAATGTGCTGATTGCCCTCAACGACACCTTCAAGCTTCTTGGCTTTTTTGGTGCCAACAGAAGTTACGACGCTAAAGAAAGGCGGCACGGTGACCTGCTCTTCTAGCACGTTCAATGCATGATTCCTTGGGGTTGTAGGGGTCGGCACTGTGTTTTCTGAGGTTAGTGTGATTAACTCAGGCCTTAGGTTGATGATTGCACCGTGTTGACTTAGAAAGTCCATCCCAAGTATCACATCCCTGGTGCAATTTTGTAAGATTACAAAGCTCGCAAGATAAGTCTGGTT